CAACACCAACAAAAACACTTTATTTATATTCCACCCTATCTCCACAGGGGGACTCAGGGCGGATCACAGTACACATATGTGGCAAACATTCAATGCCATTTGAACAGACAGGACAGAACAGACAGAAAGGAGGTATGTTGTGTTGACGTCCATCTTTTTGGAGCCTTTGCAGGTTGTGCTCAAATCCAGCCACAGGGGGTGCTGTCGCTCCATCCTCTATGATGAAGAGTCATCAGGACTTCCTCCATCCTTTTTGGTTGCTGGCATTTTTTTGGTCTTTCTTTCATGGTGTCGTAAAATACCTCCCCCTGATTTCTCTACTTACAGCTCTAAGCTGTTTCTGAACTGTTTTGTTGAACAGTGAGCTGGGCTGACAGTCTGGTGCTCACCCCGACCTGGGCTTTGAACTGGCAACCTTTTGGTTGGTAGATCTTATTGCTGCTGGTGGTGATTTCCCAGCTGTACTGTAGCCTGGCCCTAATAATTCTTGGGTTGTGCAGTGTAACATCTTAACACAATCTTAGATTAGCCTTTCAGACTGGCATATGTATTCTTGGTCTGCCTACATTTGGAACATCTCTAATAGCATTGTGACACCATATTTACTTCATGATAGTTCTTCTTTTAAAAAAACAACAGTCCCAAAATGATATCCCAAGTCATTTCAACCCACTTTTTAATAACCCACAGATATAGCTGGAATTTTAGAAGGGAGTCAAAAGCAAGCTTTCTAAGATCTGTGATGAGCCAGATTTTGATGGATTGAATCGCAGTAGTACCTTTCCATATTCTGATTGCTGAAATGCATTAATCAAACAAATACCCCATTTGGCTTGATGAAAACGAGGTGTTTTTATTCTTACTTGCAGTGTGTGCAGGCAGTTTTTATTAGCCTGCAATCAAATAATTGATTTGAAGTCGTTTGGTTTGAAGCCAGTTAAAATAGCCTCGGTTACCTGGCATCTTTATATCTTAGTGGAGTTTTAGTATCTCCTTAGCCACAACCTATAATGGCTGCAGTTCATCTCTTCTTCCACATAACAGGGAAACTCTTCCTCAGACTTTCTTTTCAAACTTTTTCTGTGCCCGTCTTCCTTTAACGCTTTCTCTTATGATAATGGAGACATTTGCAAAAGGAAATTGCATATTCTAATTTAGCACAGGGGCCCCTGTTCCTATCACAGTAACCACGCTGTGGGAACGTTTTGCTCTTAGCTATGGCCTTCTCCTCCAGTGTTGCACCTAGAGAGAATTCTACTAACTTGGTCGGCTTAAAGAAAAATTCTCACCCCCTCCCATGTACTGTCTCAGCCCCTGGCCTTCTCTTTAGTCTTATGTTATGGGATAGTCATAACCCCTTTCATGTTTCCTGCTACGTGTGATTCTCCTTTGTGGGTGTATTACAACTGGACCTGGAGGGCACCCCTTCCCAAGAAATCACTGATTGTGGTTGCTGTCCCACATAAATACCCTAATTACATCCCCAGGCCAAGGTCCCTTATTCCATCTCCTTCTCTCTTTGTTCTTCTAACAATTCTTACCCAGAGATACTGGAATGAGCTGTTCATTTCCCCTCCCACTACAAAGAGATTTCACCACATTCCCCAGTGGAACTAAAGTGTGTGTGAATGTGTGCATGTGTTAACGGGGTGATTTAAAAAAAATTAATGATGAACATCTCCTCTTGGAATTGTGTGTCTGTCTGTTAGGCATGAGGTAGCCATGCAAAAATATAAGACATCTTTCTTCGTTTACTGCAAGAAATCTGGCATCCAACTAAAGAAGTTTTATCACATCTCTCACTCAGTTACCGTTTCCTACATTTCAAATATACTGCAGTCTGTATAGGAGCTTCCCCCCAGTTCCCCCTTTAATTTTGTTGCAAATCTTCTCCACTCACTGCAGACTTTGACTGGTAAATGTCATGAATCTTGGGCCAGCCTTAATTAGGATTTTTCTAAATCTATTAACAAAGGAAAGATAGTTAATACATTATGTCAAGCAACACTGGCTTTTCTTTACTTCTTTCCAGGACTGCCAAAGGCAGAGATTGAAATTTACTGGGAATATTTTCACATGGATGTTGCATCTGATGTTGTGTTAATTGAAAATGGTCTGTTTCCCTTCATAGAGGCTTTGGCTTAAGGTTAATGTATGAATGTAAGATGCATCTTGCCATGTAGCTTTAGCCATCAGGATTGCAAGCCACATTGTTCAGACAGGGCTGCTCAGAATGCCATTGCCTGGGAGCTGTAGGCTCCCGTTTATTTGTGGCTTTCTTTTGAGGTTCACTGGGGGTGTAGAATAGCCCTGCTGTTTTCCCACTGTGGTAAAAACCTTTTCAGTGTGACTTGCTTTTATGAGAAGTATGCTTTATCTCTCTTTACAGCTTTCAAGCCAATGATGGCTTGACCATCAAAAGTTCTCAATTGTAATAAAAACACTTGCTTGATGGTGGTGGTGGTAGTGATGATGGCAGGATGATGATGAAGATGGTGATGATGATTTTGTGTCTGATATTATCATATCAACCCATATAACTTTATTACAAGAAAAGATCAAAGCTGTATATCAGTGGTCCCCAACCTTTTTTTGACCAGGGACCTCTTTGACCAGGGACCACTCTCCAACATTAGTATCAAAAGGGTTACAAATCAGTTTTTGATCAACTTTAGATTTGATTTGGGGTTCTGCTTCAGAAAATTGCATTGGATAGAACATATCAACTCTAGTTTCTGATACAAAACATATGCCATGGTCAGTGACAGGGAAGGAATGGCAGGCAGCACGAAAGGGGCAGAAATAAAAATAAATAAAGAGGAAGGAGGATTGTGGACCAGATTTTCGTCCTCATGGCCCACTGGTGGTCCGCAGCTCACAGGTTAAGAACCGCTGCTGTATATTGACATGGGAACTAATGATAGGGTGGCCATGACTTCTACATGACAAAGGATGGTCTTCTACATATCTTTGAAGGCATCCACTGCATATGGAAAATAAAGATCAGAGTCTTATAACTCCACTAAAGCACTCATTTAACTTCTTCCCAAGTTGCATCATGGTTATGGGGGGAAACAAACAACATCTTCCGGTACTGAGCAGCTTACTGATGCAATGTTGCTTTTTTTTCATGACTGGTACACCTATTGCCCTGGCCTATGCCAGTATCGTTAGACTAGCATAGTGTGTGAAGTGGTTTCCAACAACAATGAACCTTAAAAACCTTGGAGATGACTGGACTTAAGGTTGTTCCTTAGCATTTCGTTCTTGGACACTATAATGAATGAGCAATCACAGAAGTCAACTGGTCACAGAGTTCCCCATTGTGTTGAGATGTATTTCTGTTTAAGCTATAATATTAGTATATCAGAATTTACATAATGTAAATTAGTCTTTTTATGCAAATCTGTGCCTTTGAGGGGGTGATACAGAAATGGTCACCCCTCAATTAAGTTATACGGGAGATTTTTCTTTCTTTTTAAGGGGAAGGTCTGGTAGGTACAGACAACAATCAATCCATCAAATTCAAGAAGAGACATTCAACCACACAAGAAACTGGATGGCTAGTATTACATAGTTGCTCCATGTGATAAAACTTGCTCAGTGTTCCAAGTGCATGTAAATGAAACCTGTGTGGCTTTAAAAAAAAGGTTCTTTGTATGGCTTTGTGGTTAAAAATATCAGGAATCATGCACAGATCAGATTCTGCATAATTGTACTTCAAGCAACCTCCCACACAATGTCTCATATATAAGAACAGGGTTGTTCTCTTAACAGGATAACATGTCATTAAAACAGATAATTGAACAGAATGTGTGTGTTCTAGATTGTTAAAACAGTATTTGTTTCTTCCTGCCCCTACATTCTTATTTTATTTGATTTGCTTTTATGAAGAATGAAGTTAGGCACAGTTTAGAGACTGCATGCAGAATGAGAGGCCTTTTCATATGGCCTCCAGAACTGCCCAAATTCTCAACCACCATCACTGAGGAAAGAAATTACGCCCAACGTAGAGAATTACACCAGTGGTCTCTGGGAGGCATGGTTTAGTTGCTATTTTGTCCTGTCCATGTACCTCAAAATGGTCTCTGGCACCAATTTTACTAAATTGCTGGTTGAAGTCCGCAGAATGCAAAGAGGTAAAACTGAAAATAGGGCAGCTGCTATCTACCCCCTGTGTTGGAACAACAGGAATAAAAAATGTGGCATTAGCTCTTGTTTAAAAAGCTGAATAATGTCATTGCATTGAACTCTTAACCAAAACTGGAATCCTTGTTTTAGTCTACAAAGCAAACCACCATTGCTCCCCTCACAAACATATTGCCCTGAATAGCCTCTCTTCTCCAGTCCCATGAGTAGTGATGATATGTTAAGCAAAAAAGGGAAATTGGAATGCATGAATGAAGAAGTAAATATGTAATGCTATATAAAAATGTAGACTTAGGCTAGGAGAGGTTGTATGCCTTTATACCTGGGTTACTGCTTTCCCCCCATATTTCCGACTGCAAGCGAATGATGAAATAAGGTGTAAGACATTTGGGGGCCCTAAATATGGGTAAACATAGCACTTCCATGAACCTTAATTCAGTCCTGACACCAGTATCTTATCACTCTGTTATAAATCCCCTCTGTTACTATAAAAATCTTGCATTCCCACTTTCCCTCTAGTCTTTTCTACTACTTCTAGCTATTCTTAACCTTTTCTTAAATGCTCCTTCAGTCACTATTATTTGCTATTCTAGTATGTCATAGAGTTTATAGGAACCTGACATGCTGTGCTCTCCTTGGAGATGATTAAAAATAACTCTTTGTGATGTATTAGGTCAGTAGTAATGTGCATAATGCTAATAAAAAAGGTAGCAAGGGCCAGTAAAAATGTATGATGGCTATACTGCTGTAGCCTAGAAATGGAAGCAGAAGTGCAGGCCATTACTAGGAAATAAGTAGAATATAATGCTTTCTCTTCCCACTTCATGCTGTCATTTCTTTTCCCCATATAGGTGAAAGACCATTCCAATGCAGATATTGTCCATACAGTGCCTCTCAGAAAGGGAACCTAAAAACACATGTCCAGTGTGTACACCGGGTGCCCTTTGACAACAGCCAGTACCCTGACCGACGGTTCCAGCAGCCGCTGAGTAATTATTCAAATGCCCCCATCAACGAACAGCTGGAAAACTTCCTTGCAGTCCATCCATTCCCTGGAGCAACTGTGTTATAGTGATGCCTGCGCTCTGTGTTTTGCTAGAAGAGTGATGTCTCTACGCTGTTAATCATTTTAAAATAAATGAAGACGCTACATAAGATATATACAAATTGACGTACTAATCAGTCCCCGCGGTTTCATATTTCCTTTATAATAAACAGTGGAGTTGGCAAGCTTTGTGGCGGCACAAAGCATCTATATTAATCAAGATAACTTTTTTAGACACTGGAAAAAAATTAAACTTTATATAATTTGGAGGGCAGCACTGCAACAAAAATCCTCCCTTGTGGTTGTTTGATATGTTTTATTTTTATTTCGGAGGAGGGAAACAAACAGTGGATTTGGGAATGTGGGAAGGCGTGATTAATGAAACTGCCATTGGCTGTCATGCTGAGAAAAAAACCCCTACAACTCCCTTTTTTAAAAATTTTAAAAAGAAAGGAAGATTGCAAAATGGAAGAGTCATTCAGCACCGCGAAAGCCAAGCTTGATGAAGGACAGAAGGGACTAAAGAGAGAAGCCATCATTCTGCAGTGAGGTGGTTTCATGATAGTTTGGGGACCGCTCGCATTTCCAGCGGGCTTACCCTTGACTGCACACCATTAATAGTATGTGAATATGGAAATCAAAACACTTCTTTAAGAAATGCTTCTCGTCTCACTTTAGAAAGAAAGGAAGCAGCTAGTCAAACACTAAGAAGAAGACAAAAAATTAAAATAAATGAAGTCCTCACAGCCCAGACTTCTATGGGGCTTTTCTGGGTTTTTGTTTTACTCTCAGGGCCTGTCTGTTTGTTTATTATGCCTTTTCTTTCTTTAACTGCTACTTTCTGTGACCTGATCACAACGGAAATGTTTGTGCTTTTTAAAAAGAAATGTAAAAGGAGGAAGCATAACCCGCCCCCCGCAAAAATACGAGATCAAGCTGTTTAAAGCTGCTGATTTATATGCTTTGAATAGATGTTTTTAAATTCAAAAGAGTTCAGGCAGACCTGGATTCTTCTATGGGACAGCGTGTACCCATATTTTTGTGGAGCATGCTAGTTATCCTTTTTGGGATCTGGTGACATATTTGAGGAGAGTACCTTATTGGTGGCAGGTCAGTGTTCATCTAATTCAGGCATGGGCAAACTTTGGCCCTCCTGGTGTTTTGGACTTCAACTCACACAATTCCTAACAGCCGGTAGGAATGTTTTGGACTTCAACTCCTGAGTGTTTTGGACTTCAGCTCCCACAATTCCTAACAGCTGGTAGGTTGTTAAGAATTATGGGAGTTGAAGTCCAAAACACACAGAGGGCCAAAGTTTACCCATGCCTGAACTAATGTATAATGTTTTGTACTTGGTAATCACGGGGTGATCAGGAGAGAAAAGAAACTTTATATACCTCTTCAGAAACTCTTTTAAATGCAAGTTTTCAAAGTAGGGGGTGAGAATGGCAGTTTGTTAACCATATAGTCTCTGCAGTTTATTAAAAAAATGTATTCTACAGATATAAATACTTCCTTTTCTTTTATTGCTATGACACGGTGTGATGGTAATAATTCAGAGTTTCAGATTTTGCACATATAATTTTATGCATCATCATAAAAGAAATGGCTGCCTTGGAAAAAATATTCTGTGAATTTTTTGCAAAAAAAAGAGCTTTACTGGGTTTTTTAAAAAAATGTAACATTTTTATAAAGGCAGACAAAGGATTTTTTAAAACAACTAGCATGCTAATTATATTTTTCCAAAAAAAGCAATAATTTTACATGTACAGAACTGGCGCTAGTCTTTTAATACTGATTGAGAGCAGCCATTTACTTTCTACCATAATGGGATAGTGCTCTTTTTTGTAGTACACAAGCTTCTTACACAAAGATATTTAATATGTCGTTCTACCATTCTAATTTTTGTTTCTGCCTCCATTTGATTTGGGGTTCTACTTGTTGCAAATTATTTGCTTTGCAGTTGTGGACAATAATGCCGTTGTAACATTAACATGTAATGTGCTGGTTTGGGATTTTGCTTTTGTTCCTCGTAACTCCTGCACCAGCTGTATGCCAGCTGTAATCCTGGTGTAGATAAGAATGTCTGTGCAAATGCCTATCTTAAGTGATTGTAATCAGCTCTCTTTTGAAGTTATCGTGCGGAAATTCGCAGAGACACATTCCTCCTCCTTTCTGTCCTCCATATGCCGTTCCATCCTCGTCCTTACCCCTATCATCTCGTCATCTAAAAGAACAATAGTTAATTTTGGGATTCACACTCAAGTACTCCTTTTATTCCTATATCAAACACTTATTTTTTCTTGTTTGAATTAAAACAGGTGAAGAGCCTGAAATTCACAAAGCTAGCCTCTGTGCTGGATTTGTGTTCTGTTCTGCCCCAAAAGTTATACCAATTGTCATCTGCAGTTATCATTATGTTTTGTGGGTTGGTGTGTCCACACATGTGTTTTTTAAATTGTGTTTTCAGAGGGTGTTGGGTTTTCTATTTTATTTTATCATTTTTATTTTATTTTTTGCAAGCTAATAGGGAAGGATCGTAGTTAATATTTAGAAGTGAAACGCTCGTGCTGGAGACTGTTTACTTGAGGACTGTCAGACACTGAGAGAAGAAAGTGCTGTCACTGCCATTACCAGGGTACTAATCAGCAAAGTTTACAATCATAATTTAGCTACATGAAGAACAACAGCAGGGGAAATCAGTTTAAATAATTATATGCTGTGTATAGCACAAAAATGAGATTTTCACTTAATTAAACAAGAAACAGGGAGGGAGGGGGGAATCCTTCATTAAAGACCAGCCATTTCCACGTGTGAATCCCAGGGTTTGTAATTTCCTCCTTTATCATCCATATTGTATCGATTTGTTAATTCAGTTAGACCCTAGTGCTTAGTATGATTTGTGTTTCTTATTTATTTAGTTCTTTGCGTTTCAAATAGCCTTTTTTAAAAAAAAGGGAAAAAAGGAAACTTGATAATTTTGTAGCATGACACACTTTGTAAGCCATCTTCTGACTGTTACCAAGGCTTTCTACTACCTCTATCGATCTGTTTCTTTTCCTTAACAGGTTTTCTACAGTGTTGCCGTCTAATGTACCTTAGACAATAAAAGGTTTGATTATGAACACTGCAGATGGTGTATCAGCCATCCCCTTTCTCAATTCCTCTTTTTGTTTCGCTTGCACTTTTTACCTTCCTGTAAAAAAGTTAGTACCTATGCTACAGCAGTTCCCTTTCCTCTCATACTCAAATATGGTAAAATGACCCCTTACAAGATTTTGAAATAATGATATTTTTCAAAACGAATCAGTTGAGGTTGATATTTATATTTCAAATATTATTTCTACTGCAAAATAATAACAAAAATCTTGTGTGGAAAAAAATAATAAAGACCCATTTGAAAGTTTAGATTTAAATTTTAAAATAATGTAAGGTACCTTTCATGTAGGAGGGAGGTTTGTGAGCAAAAGAAATGAGGCTCCAAAATTTTAGAACAACGTACCACTTCATCACATTTACTAAATTCCACTGAATGCTACACGTAAAATCCAGGAAGCCATTCTCCTCATCACATTAGTTTGGCTTCAAGTGTAGGATAGAGCATTCTTTGTGTATATTAAGAGTGGGGACCAGCATTCTTTGAAATGTTTCAAGAGCTGGAAGGGAAGTGGATTTTTTAAAAATGATCCGGATGATTGGCAATTTCTGTAATGTGATGGAATTTGTTGCTCCCAGGTTTAAAATGAAATGTTTCCCCAAATTGTGGAAGGAGAAATTGTAGGAAGAGCCAAAACTACCCTTGTTAGGGAAAGCATTACCTTTTGCTCACCCAGTTTTACAATTTCTGTTTTAAAAATACCCTTTCTGGGTCCTTTCCTTTCCTTCCGTGATATTCCTGTGCCTTGTGTTGCATGGGAAAGCCGGGAGAATATTATTATTATTATTATTGTTATTATTATTATTGTGTCATGTCTCCATGCTATGCAGTCCTGGGGGCCATAGTTTTACCCTTCTCTTGGTGCCTTTCCAGTATGGAATGAATGCCCTTGCAACCCACTTTAAATGCCATGACTCCATGCGACGGAGGCCTCCTGGGAGTTATAGTTTCCCAAGGTCCATACTCTTCTCTTGGTGCACCTACACTATTGAATGAATGCAGGTGGACTTCACTTTAAATGCCATGTCTCCATGAGATGGTCTTGGGAATCGCTGTTTCCAAAGGTCCATGAACCTTCTCTAGGTGCATCTACATTGTGAAATGATTGCAGCTGGACCTTACATTAAGCACCATAGCTCCATACTATGCCGTCCTGGAAGTTATAGTTTTCCAAGATCCCCACCCTTCTCTGTGGGGCAGAAGAGAGAGAGAGAACAGAGAGCATTGCAGCTTTCCCTCTCTCCCTACTTCCTTGCTTCTGGAATTGAAGACATGTAACAGCTGACATGTGGTCCTGCATTAGTATGGAAACTGGAATTTCAAAGAGAGGAAGGGTTTTTTCCAACAAATAATGGAGGGGGGAGATGGTGGGCAGGGCCAAATCTCTATAACGTGATGACAAATTCAAAGAATGCTGAGTACTACTGAGTTTTATGGATACATTTGACAGTGTGATGATAGTAGAGAAACCATCTGTTTCATTGAAAAACTGAGCTCTACTCAGCTCTACTCCGCTGTTTCATTGCTTCAATGTGATGAAGTGGTGATTGGAAGTTGGAAATGTTTCACTTTGTAATGTTGAAATCTGGCTCCATCATTACATGGCAATAGCCTCCTTTGCAACCCAATACAATTCATACTGGTAGCCAGATTTTGTTATTTTCATGGTTTTCCCCTTTCTGTTGAAATTGCCCTCATGTTTGTGGATTTCAGTCGCTTCCCTGGCAGCAACCAGCCAGGCTTTGAAGCTGCAAGGCCATTCAATGCTAATCAAGGTGGCCAATTGCAACATTCACAACTGCCTCAAGCAGACAAGAGTTCTTTATCCCACCCTGGACATTCACAAATATATAAACATTTGCCTAGTTTTCAACAGATCTCAATCTCTGAGGATGCCTGCCATAGATGTGGGCAAAATGTCAGGAGAGAATGCTTCTGGAACATGGCCATACAGCCTGGTAAAACTCCCAGCAACCCTATGTCTATAATAGTCTCAAATTGACTAGGAATTTCTCCCCTTTATCACTTAACTGATGTATAAATGTATCCTTTAACGACAAAAGAACCCTAAAATAGACGCAAGGTAACATGTTCATGTAGCTAAAGATGGTTGGTTCTGCAGAATGATTTGCTTCCCCCAAAGAGATGCTTTTCACAATCCAAAACACAACGATCTTGTTCAGTACTCGGACTTCTGAGTTGTTAGTACAAAATAAGATCAAATGAATATTTCAGAAAACAAAACCACTCTTTCAGTGGCCTTTCAGATGATGGGTTGAATAAGGACAGACTATTGCAATTTTTGCATTTTGTGCAATAGAATTTTCTAGGTAATTGCTACTCCAATTTAAATGGTGATACACATAACTCAAACAGTACCGTGACAATGCATCATTATCGCAATTGAAAAGACATAGAAGAAAATAGAAAAGCCTAGGTTTATTATATTTCATACGTTTCTAAAGAGGAGGAATTGCCAGTAGCATTTCGTTATAACAAATTCTGCTTTTACATTGCTAACATATGCACATTGTATTTAATAATTAATTATGCACTATAAGGTAAAAGCAGGAAAGACAGTGAAGAAGTGATGTTAACTTTTGCCCTAACCCATTTGCTTTAGAAATTATCAACAAATGTATAACCTGTAGACAATTGAAATAATGGGTACACTCATACATTGTAGAAGTAATGCAGTTTGGCATCACTTTAACTGCCCTGACCCAGTGATGTGGAATTCTGGAATTTGTAGTTTGAAATTTGGAATTTGTAGCACTCTTTGGTATAGAAGGCTAAAGACCTTGTAAAACTACAACTCCCATGATTCCATAGCAATGAGCCATGGCAGTTAAAATGGTGTCAAACTGCCTTAATTCTGCAGTATGGATGGATAAATATTGTCATCATGTCTTCTACTGAGAGTATACCATATTTCACTTTTCTTCTTTTGACCATAGTTTTTTTTAAAAAAAATGCAGAAGGGCAAATTGAAAGGATGCTGATGTGTCTAACTACATTTCAGAAGTAGGATACTCTGGAAGAAATTAAATATCAATACTGGCCATAGAAATTGCCAATAGGCAAATAGATATGAATGGTGACTAGTAACATGAATTATGGATGACCCTGCACAAACACAAATAACGTTATTGGAAATGTTGCGAAGGCAAGTATTAAAACGGCCCTGATTCTCTCTTCTTTCTAAATATTGGCCTTGATTTCTGAATCCAATTCTGTAAATATAAAAATTGGGTATTCCCTATCTGGAATTCTGAACTACTCCAAAGTTGTCCACGTGGCTCACTGAGATAGTGTCAACTTTGCTTTCTGAACATTCGATGTACACAAACTGTTTTGTGCACTCAATTATTTAAAATATTGTGCATAAAATTACCTTCAAGCAATGTGTGTAAGGTATATATGAAACAAATGAATTTCTTGTTAGTCTTGGGTTCCATCTCCATGATATCTCATTATGTGGTATGCAAATATTACAAAATCCAAAAAGAAAACTACCTCACCACCAAATATGGAACACTTCTAACCCCAAGCATTTCAAAATAAGGGATACTCAACCTGCATTGCCAGTGATATCTGAAAGCAACACCAGATGTTTATGTAATGTACAAGTGACAACACTCCTAAAAAAAGTGTTTCCACAATGATGTCCTCATGTCCAACTATACAATCTGGTGTTTTACTACAAACAAAACTTGCATTATCATTTTTTTTCTAAGCAGATGCTTCCCTGTTACAACCTTTTGAGACTGCTGGAGGGCTTGTACATAATGGCACTCTTCAGTACATGGTTTGTACACTTCATTCAATATTGCAAATTGGATGATAGGGAGAAAAGAGATAGGCTGTCATAAGCCTTGAAAGCACATTTAATATTTAAATAGCTTTATGAATCCCTGACCATTGCTTTGAATATCTTTCCACAAAAATAGAGTACTATTGTGGATGAAACCAAAGGCTGGTTTTACATTTGTTTCTTTTAGGTTGCTGTTCTATGGAGCAGGTCATCAGGCTTGCTCTTCAAGAAATTAGCAGCATTATGAAGGGAATATAGCAGGTTCTGAATTGTTCCTGTAAGATAAGCTCATGCTATGTCATCTGTTATCTTCATCATCATGAGTGTAGTGCCATAAAGAGTCCTCAAGGGAGAAGAGTTATTCCGAGAAGTGGAAAAAGATTTATTAGCCTTATGACTACCCTGTCCGCATGCTTTAGAAGACAGGGAAAGCATAGCCTTCCAGCATGTGGTTTGTAATCTAAAATGGGTGTGGACAGGATCTGAATTGTCTTCTTAAAGCCAGGTGTTAAATCACCTGCCAAGAAAGTCTAAATTCTAAATAAATACTGGGATTTACAGTGGATTCATTGTGGAAAAGGGATATTAAAATATCAATAGAAGATATAAAATGGACACTGTGATGGGGACTATCCTAAAATGTTTGCTAAATTGGAGGTTGAGCTTTTTTGAAGGTGGACACTCTCTAAAAGTAAGTATTTTGAAATGTAAAAGTGAGTTGCGCCTCTAAATAATGAAAACAATGTCTCATCGATAAGAAATCATATTCTACTGTTGTACTTCCTTTTTTAGGCCATTTTTCATTTCATTATGGTTTACCCTTATTGCTTCTAATAGCCTTGCCAGATGATGCTCACATTCTTTTAAAATCAAGTTGTCAATTGAAACAATATGCACAGATAATATTATCATTGAGAATATGGTCCCTCTGCCTGGATTCTTGATGTTTCCTCCATGTCCAATAGTTCTTTTGTTTTGTGTGAAACAAGATATTTGTCATTCAAATTCTAGTACATTTGACCATGGTTTTCATGTTTTGACTGACAGTGGTACAGTGGTGCCTTGTGAAACAATGATTGCATTACAATTGATGGGCACGAAAACACCTTTACATCTGGCACCGAAATTGTGGTTACTTTGTTGTGGCCATTGATCTCAGGTTTACAACCTGAAATGG